TGCTGCTCCACATCGAAAGGAGCCAGCTGAGGTGGCATCTGACAAGGATGCCTCCTGGGTGAGGTGTTCCAGGCATGTCCCACTGGGAGGAGGCCCCGGGGCAGACCCAGGACACGCTGGAGAGATTATATCTCTCGGCTGGCCTGGGAACGCCTTGGTGTTCCCCCGGATAAGCTGGAGAAGGTGGCTGGGGAGAGGGAGGTCTGGGCCTCTTTGCTTAGGCTGCTGCCCCCGCGACCCGGCCTCGGGTAAAGCTGATGAAGATGGATGGAGTTCAGTCTCTTGTGTAGCTTAAATATTAGTCGATTAGCCCCTCTTTACAAACGACACCTCTCCTCCAGTTAACTAATGGCCACACTGCTGCGCTACTGATTTTTGTCTTCTTTAAATGTCGTGGTAAATTTCTTCCCGATGACATTCAAAGTCATATCAAATTTTTAAAGCATGACCACCAATGAAAATGTGACATCGCCCCTCTAATATTCTGTAATCGGCCGCTTTCTTCTCTTTGCTACAGAGGCAAAAAGCTTTTTGCCTCTGTAGCATTTACACTCTGTCTGAGCATGCTCTGAGCGTGCCTCTCCAGGCTGTACCACTGAAACAGGACTGTTGTCGCCTTTGAATAAGCAGTTGTTTGCTTTGCTCTCAAGCTGCACCACTTTACCCTTTGCAGAGCCTCAATATCGTTTTTATACTTTTACACCACTTTAAAGTATAAAAATATCATTTGAAAATATATATTTTTGTTGCAGTTTACCAGCTCATTTCGTATATTATAAGCTTTAACGAAAACAAGGAATTTATAGTGAAACAACTACCAGCTCAGTTCAGTGTTTTGCTCCCAGGTATGCTTTAGGTACACAGTCGCGTCCTAAATGACCCTTTCCATGTCCCAATATAATACAAACTCAGAGGGTGCAGCTGATAAGCTGTAAATGTGTAACCTAATTCTGGGTATGTCGCTTTCACAGAAGCATCTACTAGGATAAAAAAATATATGAAAATCTTACATCACAGCCAGTGAATCAGTATTTATTTGTTTATTCACCAAATACTTTGAAATGCTTTTAAACAATATTTAAATTTAGAATTTTCTCTTTGTTAGCATGTTTGGTTGCTAGCTGAATAGCCGGTGATCCTATTTAGAGAGACGTTTTCCTAATTAATCAAAGATTACGATTATTTGTCACGATTATTCATTAAGTTTATGACAAAAATGTAAACATAACACATCTTCAGATCTAAATAAATCGTTGTAAGACAAAATGAATCAGAGGAGTACTGCTTTTACTTTTGGATTATCCTAAATTTTGCAGATAAATAATAATATAAGGTTTTTCACTCGACTGAACTTACATGATGAATGTGACTAAAACTCGTAGCAAAGTTCATGCATCAGCTAGACTCCAAATTAGTGTCTTTCAGGCCTTCAGATGTGTTACTTGTGGTGCTTTGGGGTGCAGACGCACAGCACTCTTTGGATATGATTTCTTCTTGGTTACCTCACGTGCACTAAATCTGAAGTATTTCCAAACAACAGTAATGATCTGCTTCAAGGAGCAAGCTCTTTGCCTTCTGTTGTGCCAGACATTTGCATTTGTTATATACTTGTCCAGAAACTTTGCTGTGCAGTGTGGGAGTGACTGTGATTGGCCCATACATGCATGTGGCTGAGCAGAGATTTAGAGTGCATTTGATTTGCTTTGTGTTTTAAAACCGCAAAAGCATACTCGATCATGCTCATTTAATTATTGAAAGCCAAAATAGTGATCAGACCTAAAATCCAATTAATTGTGCAGCTTAATCCTAGTATATATTTTGGCCCTCAGTTGCTGTTAGAATTAGTTTCAAGCTGGTTAGAGGCCACTCTTACGTCTGGAGCAGATACTTGTTGACAGTGTTTACCCTGGTGCAGGTGTGCCGCGGCGGTCAGTGGAAGAATCCGCGAGTTTCTCTGTGAGTTTCCCATTACATCGTTGCGCACTGGGTGCTTGCTTGGAAGTTTAGGGGTTTTTTGCTGTAAAAAGAAGTTTTCTTCCCACGCACAAGGGACGCTAATGTTTTTGTTACTTTTTATGGAATCAAACTCAAAGTAAGGTCAGTACTTCCACGCTTTGAATGCTGCACGCTCATACTCTCTCTGCACTAGATATATGATCCACTGTTGATCTGCACACAGCTGTTGTCACGAACGTCGCACTCGCTTACGTCACTGTCATGAGACATTCTCGCAAAAAAAAAATCACGGTTTTAGTAACGCAGTAACGCAGCGTTCCTACGGGAAAGTAACGGTAATCTAATTACCGTTTTTGCAATAGTAATCCCTTACTTTACTCGTTACCTGAAAACAGTAATCGGATAACGCGTTACTGCCCATCTCTGCTCGTTGATGCTGCTGGATTTCTGACGAGCCCAACTGAAACTACTGAATTTGCTCATTTAGAGTTGAGGCATAACACAAAGCCAGTCCTATCACTCGGTTACTGAAGTGTCACCCTTGACTTCCTCTAATGTTGTTCGACTGTAAGGTTGATGAGCTTCCCTTTGGTTGCAGATCTGTTCCTGTTGTTGTTGTTGTTGTTGTTGTTGTTGTTGTTGTTGTTGTTGTTGTTTTTAAAATATTGTTTACCTTGTAAGTATGATAATTGTGTTTTAACAACAGTACAGTATGTTAACTGCACATGCATCAGTGTGTTGAGTTCATGACTTTCTTATCACTCTCACAGGGGGAGAAGCTGTTTGTCTGCTTGCTGCAAAAGCTGAAAGTCCCTGTTGGCCTGGCTTTATTATCGCTGGCTGATCTGTAATTATAGACATGGTGTACACGTTTGCAAACCTGCCACAAGTCTCACCGTATGTGTTGAAAGTATTCTCTTAAAGGAATCGGTGAGCCATCAACATTCAGCATGGACTCAGTGTAAAAAAATCAAGCCAAGATTTGCTGTTCTGTTAAAAACTTTCATCCACAAGTTGCAGCGACAGCACAAAGAGCATTGTTGTCATATAGCGTCATGCATTTGGCCTGTTAACCGCCCTTAACAACACCCTTAGCCTTGGACCATGAGCCTCCAATTCACACAGCTGGGACTATAGGCCTGAACCTCTGCAGTAATTGGAGCAGGCTTAAGTCTTCAGTAACGTGCAGCACTTCTTGTTGCCTAGCTACAAACAAACCTGAGTTGTGCAATATGGAATCTCCCCAGAAGCTCTCAATATAGAAATGAATATTTAAAAAAACACAAAAACATCACACTGAAAGGAGAACATCCTGCTTTTTGTTTTTTTTAAGTGAAAGGATATGAATACTTCTATTTTCCATTTTAAAAAAAAAAAAAAAAAGACATGAAATTAAAAAAATCACTCATATTATAAGACACAAGTTCGAACCTGTAGCAAAATGTCAAACTGCTCAGCTTGTATCGATTGATTAATTTTGCTAAAAGCGCTTTTTTAAAAAATGTTCTACTTGTGCTGCAGACATCTATAAATCGCTTCTTTAACTGCACACGGGAGCAGTGTGTTCTCTGCAGCTTCCTCAGCAGACGTCGGTGTGAAATGTTGCTGAGAGACTGTTTTGGAACAAGAGAGCGACTGGGTGTGTTGGCAGACTCCTCGCACCTTGAGACCTGCATCAGTAATGATACAATGTCTGTATGCATCTAAGTGTCCCTTGCGTAATTCATCTCCCGACCGGTGCTGTGTCATGAGACTGCAATTGAATTGGCAATAACAGGCCGTATGCCATACTGTACCATTAGTGCTTGTGCATGCCCCTCATGGTGTTGGCCTCGGACAATAATTTGCTGTCTTTGCTTTGTCTTTGTCCTATTTGTTGCTTGCTCAACTACGGTGCTGCTTGAAGAAGACCGTATTTAACTGCACACTCTCTGCTTAGGGGCTCTTTTCTAACCTCTTGTTTCATGCAGTCATTTCTAATGAATGCAAAGTTTCAATTAGCAATGCATTTGAAGAAGTATATCTTAAAAAGTAAATTGAAAAAAATATAAATTGTTGCATCAGTTACATGCATCATTTTCCAGCATCTTTAACAATATGCTTATAACAGGACATCAACTCTTTCCTTTCCGTTGCTCATACCGAGGCTGCTTGCTTGTAATTGCCTGTTAAAGTGATACAGAGCTTTTTTTTTTGCTTTTTTTTTTAAGCTTCTTTAAAATTCTCCTCCTACAAACAGTTTACTTTCAGAGCATTGTATCTTCACTCACAGTCAAGACCTTCCACGCTAATAATGTTGGAACGTGTGAGTGAGTGAGTATTTGTCTGTGCTGCTGTGAGTGTGTCATGCATGCCTGAAACGGACCGACATATGGGATCGATATTGCAAGCCTTATTTACATATTAGTACTGCGCTTCTTTTTTTTTTTTAATTGTACCTCTACATATGGTACTTTTCCTATACAAACTTGAATCCCAAGTTGAGAACAAGGCAGCAAAAGGCTGTGAAAGTTGTGTAATAATGCTACAAAACGGAAAAGTTATTTGCAACTAGTTGGCAACAGGATAAAGAAGAGCTGCTAGAGGGATTGAGTCTTAAAAAAAAGATGTAAAGAATAATGTTTTCTCTTGCAAAGAATTAGGATTTTGGACACAAAGCAATCATAAAACGATTATCTGTGAGCTATTACCAGGCCCATCCTGAGTCCCTGATGTTAAAAGTCCACCAGCAAAATGTTCACAGCAAATTCCAAACATGTCAAAGTTGTAACAATATAAAAACATCAATCCTCACATTTTAAAAAGACAGAAATGGAAGTAATTGTTTGATAAGCAATCTTCTTTTCAATTGAAGTTTTCCACGAAGTCTTTCAGCTGCAGGTTTTCCTAAATAATCAAATTCCAGGACAAGCATACAGCTGATCTAGGAGCTCCGTGAGGCTGTACATGGGCGCAGCCGCGCTTTCAGCTAAATGTCAGCTACTAAAAAGTTACATGTTCACCAGTAACCTTGGACCTCTCTCTCTTTTTCCTGTTCCTTTCAGATTGACGGGGCCCTCTGGTTATCTGACTGACGGTCCAGGAAACTACAAATACAAGACCAAGTGCACCTGGCTCATTGAGGGACAGTAAGTACAGACAACGCCATGGGAAAGCAAGTTCTTCTTCAGAGGCGCCGAATTAATTAGCCCAGAACACATTTGTTCCACGTCCTAAATAGCACTAGCAATAGGAGTACTTTTTCAATTGAAGTTTAACAGCTTTGAATATATTATATCATCCTGGATTTAAAAAAACAAACAAAAAACCATTGGGAAAACTGGCACAATCCTGTTGATCATTAGCTTTTGCCATTAGGGGAAACAGTGGGAACAGTGGGAAGGAACCCTAAAAACGTTGAGACTGATGGGATTAGGATTGTGAAAACTGAGGCCGCAACTCAATATTGCAGGCGGGATTTATAATGATTAGTTTGTGCACAGTATACATTGCAGACTCCTGCTGTGCTCCAGCCCCTGGTAATGTGGATAAAAATGAATGGCAAAGCAAGTGTAAGAAATCCAATAGCCTCCTTTCTCTATCGTTTCAGTCAGCACATCCACGCCACCGAGTATCGATTTAAAGCGACGATTCTTGATTTTTTATTTTTTTATTTATTTTTTGGCTTCGAGCTTATCCAAACTTTAAACCCGCCGCTTGCATTTACATTCCAGGCAGATAGCCAGCACGCTCATTCGGGGGAAGGCGGGGCTAACTAAGAATGAACACGTAAGGCTCAGGAGATCGCGCTTCTGCTCGCCGTGCACATCTTACATGGTTTTGAACTTCTGACCTTCGTTTTCCCGGATGGCTTCTCTAATCACCGTGTCACCCTGCCGTCCAGTGTTTCATTACATACTGATGGCTCATTTTATATGCCATCTTGAGACTTCAGCCCATCTTCAACAAGAGGTTAATGTAGTGACATATGCGCTATATGCGTCACACTGACAAGAATACTGTTGAAGAGGTTTTATGGGCTTCAGATATGCTCTCACTTTGAACCTTCAAAAGCTCCCTCTGCAGCTAAGTGTAGCGAATCCATTTCTAGTGGCTTGAAGTGACTTTATCTCCTGAAAGGCAATGAAATAACTACTAAAATGTGGCTTTGCTCGATGCCTTGCTCAAAGGGGTCCCAGTGCTTCCTACAAAAATAAGGGCTTACATTAGATTAACAATTTACCAGTCACAAGTCCTCTGTACTCGAACCCCAGGGGCTGCTGCCATTCCCCAGTTTGTCTGCTAGGTCATTAAGGAGGAGCCATCGCTTCACTCTAATAAATATAATTATAAAGAGAAAAATGTGACTATTCATAACACATCCTGTATGTCTCAGTTTCTCATCGTAGATGCACTGAATGGGTCTTTGTCTTCTTCCCTCCTCTTTTGAATGATTTCATTTAGCCATGTTTCCCCAAATTTAGAGCAAAGTTTGTTTTTTGTTTTTTAAAGGATCTCATGAATGTCTTCAATCAAACTCAGATTAAGCCAGCTTGTTTTTTCCTGTTTTGCTGAACACTGCCCGTGCATAAAAACACCCGGCCACAGATACTTGGTTTATTCACTGTCTCTGTAGCACACATTGTGCAACAGCGAAACTTGTCTGCCATATAATTCGCTTGATGTAATCGTGTTTTGCTGGTAGACTAAATAACTGGGATGCACACCGCAGTACGGTTTTTACACTTGATACGGAAAACATAGCTGATTTGTGCAGAACACTGCAATGTGATTCGAATATAAAGGTGTAGTTGGTGGTTGGCCACACACAAACGCTAGTAAAAATGTTGCTGTAGGTGGTGACTGTTTCTACCATATCACCCAGTTAATTATCCACCTTTTATTGTCCTGAAAGTATCATTCCACAAGTTCAGCTGTTGAAGAGTGCAAAGCTAAATGTGACCCAGTCAACAAGGAAATATTTTTTATTGCACATAATAAAAGTATGTAAAAATCTAAACAAAGCAAAAACCTTAGAGTAGGTCCTATCTAATAAAAAATTACACGTTTCCTGGAGAAACTGTTTGTTTCCAAACACAATTAAGTGCAATGGAGTGGAAATGTTGGGGCACCTCTGGTCATTCATGTTCTCTTAGTGTGAAAACCACAGACAGGAGATGATTTCCAGAGGGCTTAAAATTGAAGACTGTGCATTTCGTTAATTGTAAGCGAGATTGATTCTTTATTTCTGTCTTTTACAGTTTTGAATAACAGTGTGCAAAGTTCCCAAAGCGCTACTTCTTCAGGACTTACAGCCATTTTTCTAAGTATCTTAGCTTGCAGAGATTTTCTGTAGCCAGAAGAGTCACATGATTCCTGTTTAGTTAATTTTTGTCTGGTGGCCTTGAATGCACTTCTCTTTTGTTGTCTGGCAACTTTTTTGTTTTTTTATGACATGTAATTCAGGACACTGTGAGAGGCGTGCCAAAACCTTCAGCTTGTGCTTGTTAAGTAGTCCATTCCAGGTTTTTGATGCATTTAAGATTATAATGCTGCTGTTACCCTGTTTTGTTTTGTTTTTATCTTTAGCGATTTTACATTTGGTATGTTGATGCTGTGATTTTTAGAGGCTAGCCTCAACACAAACCCATAGTTATCTTGCAATGGGATCACAGCACTGAGAATAGTAATGCTGCATGCTTCTTTAAACATAATGCAGGTACAAAGCTCTTTAACTGGACACGCCACAGGCCTCGTTACCACCAGCGTTTGTGTGCGTGCCATTCTGTCTGTCTGTAAACACGATAGCTTAGCGTTTTGGGTGAATTCTGTGAAAACTTTGTAAGCATGCAGAGCTCATGTTACCAGTCTATTCAAATATGGCTCACATCCACCAAGGGCAAATTATTGATTTATTGGTCAAAAATTAACATGAACTATGATTCTTACACGCGAGTCTGTGTGTGTGATTGAGCGTGTATTTATATCTTTGTGGGGACCAAAAGTTGGAAGTTCACTATACTTGTGGGGACCAACACCCCTTATGGGGACAAAAGTCCAGGTCCCCACTAGTTTGAAGGCATTTTTGAGACTCAAAATGTGGTTTTAGTGTCAGGGTTACAATTGGGTTATTGTTAGGTTTAGGGTTAGGGTAATATAGAATGCATTGTATAAAGATTTGACCTCTTCTCAACTTCTCCTTCAAGGTCAAAGTGAAAATAATGGAATGTAGAACTCTTTAAAACCACGTTTTGTATTGACACCATATAGGCATACAGGGCCGATATATGGGAATTAAATATCCTGTTACTTTGGACTTCTGACCTCTTCTACAAGTTCAAATAAAGGTCAAACGTCTTATCTTCAAAACTGCTTTAATGCTGCTGCCTTTTGTTTAGATTGGCAACATTTAGGAAGTGATACTGATATATGGGGATTATAAATATAATATTATAGTTTGGATCCAAATATCACCTCAAGATGGATTCAATCTTTAAAGAAAGTATTTTTAAGACAAAGAGAATGAGCTGCCTCGTTAGTTAGAACTATACTGTGGTATAATATTATATAATGGGCTGAAATAATTCATGCCCAGTTATTTGCAGATTAATACCTCTTATCCATTACCTCCTTCACCTACAGTAAACATCTGTCATGCTGTACTTATCTGATTTTTACTGCACTGCAAACTTAAAGTACATTTTAAAAGAACAAAGAAAACCAGATGAATATGTAAAAGGTAAAAAAAAATTCTGCCCAGAGAGTGAGCTTCCTTGGCGAAGGTTTGCGCTCTGACAAGTTTGGATCTGCTAACCTAAAAATCTTGCGAGCAGTTCCCGACCTCTGCTCAAAGAAATGGATATCTGAAAAAGACCGGCTATCTGTTCAGGCTTGTATGTCTGGTCTGTCTTCGACTGCTCAGCATAAGGTTTGACATGTATGTAGCTGTGAGGTCTGAGAACTTGTCTGTGTTTTACAGGCCCAACACCATTCTGCGATTACGGTTCAACCACTTTGCTACTGAATGCAGCTGGGACCACCTCTACGTGTACGACGGCGACTCCATCTATGCGCCCCTTCTGGCGGCTTTCAGGTAAAGCTTCAAATATGTGACAGGCTTGGAACACGCTTGAGTATAAATGGTAATAAAAACACCTTAAACTCTTCTTTTGGGTTATTATTGTAGCGGTCTGATTGTTCCTGAGCGATATGGGAACGAGACCGTCCCGGAGGTGGTGTCTCAATCTGGCTACGCCCTGTTGCACTTCTTCAGCGATGCTGCCTACAACCTGACCGGCTTCAACATTTCCTACCGGTGAGAGAATCTCTGAAAAAACAAAGTACCACATCCTACATTTTCTTATTTATTTTCAAACAAACAAGGATTCGGCTTTCGCTTCAGGGAAGTTGAGGTTTCTCCGCTGACTGGCCAGACCACAAAACAAATACAGAAACTAGATGTGTTGTTGGCTTCGTCTGTCATTTTTTTTTCTTCTTCTTCATATTTGATATTTTAGCTGGAGTGGCAGCTCCCGCATATCGACTTGTTCATAATCCTCTGAGCTGACTGTGCAGTCCTGTCATGCCTCAGGGTTTGCAACTCTCGGGGTCCGCAAATGTGTTCGTGTTGTCAGTCACTCGATAGAAAGTATCTACTAAATGACAAATGCCTGGATACTGAGCCCTGACAGGAGAGCCTCTGTGCAAATCATTTCTGTTTCACTGGCTGAGATTAATTTAGGTGAAGGGCCCACTTCACACCCTTCCTTGGGACACGATGACGCATACAAACCTCTCACTCGCTACATGATTCAGCCGGTGTGCTGGCACGATTGGTGGAGAGCATTTTAGCGGAGGATCATGTCAGGTTACTGCCGTCCATTTGCTGCAGTGTGTTGTTGCAGCATCAGTACTCCTGTTATTGTTCAGACACACTGTGGCACTTTTGCTGTCTTTTTGTTTGTGTAACGAATATGTGGTTCCTCCCTGCTTTTCAGGGACTGGACGGATAGAGTGGCCATACTAACACGCGTGTTATTAGCCGCTGAACATCTCATCATGTAATGCAACCATTGATTTTATTTAAGCTTAAGATTTATTATTGGCATTTTAACTTTTTATTAGACTGTTAGACTAGTACAAAGGGTTTACAGGAGGGTGGGAGGGGAGAAATAACACAGAGGAACTGCTGTAGGCCTTCAGTGTATGGGTTTCCTGCTCAACCAGGTGAGCTATGGTGGTGCCCATTTGATTTATTTTATCTTAAACTGTCTCCATATATGTGGCATTGCAGTCGTTTGTCAATTTATAATGAATTTGTTACAAAAAATAAATAAAAGTAACGGAGATAAGTAATTATAAAGCTTGAATGCCCATTTTTAATCCGCCTAGTTTCCTCTGCTTGTCTAAGCAGAGTCAGATGCGGGATCTCTTGCATGTTTACTTCTTCTTCAGCTGTCTCATAGCTGTCGGTGAGGGTTGGAGCTTGGATTGGCTTGTAAACTGAACTGTTTTCCTCTCAGCTCACCTCTGTGTTCAGCATATCTGCTGGGGACATCAATGCTGATGCAGCACCCTGGTTGACTTTTATATATTTTATCTTATGCTCTGACTCTGTGTTTGGTTTCCTAGAGTTGCACTAATTTAAGCTGAAAGTACTGCAAATATTATTATACATAAGTAAAAGGAGTGAACTTTTAAGGCCGCTCTTTGCCTCTGTCAGTACTTTGGGCCTATGCCAGCAGTTCATTTCACTCCTCTTTAACATGCTTTTAATGGCTCCATTTGGTGTAGTGTAATGATGCTGCTCTTTGCTCTGCAGTCTGGTATCGACGCTGTGTGCAGGTCCAGAGTTGAGTTTCTGTATTACTTATGGTAACTATGCTACATTGCATGATTAAATATTATAACCTGAAATACCTGAGGCAGAGCAGAGGCCAAATGTAATGGGGACACACCTAAAAAGGTTTGATCAACACATCAGCAAACAGCTGATAATGCAGAAAACAAACAGCTGTGACAAAATTATAAAATTAGATTGTGGATCCACGTTCATGACTAACCTTACTCTTTACCCCTTGTTTGACACGAGCCATTACAGATATTCATATTGTGGATGCCTCTGTCTACAAAGCAAAAATCTTCTTATATATGCCTTCTTTTTATTCCAGACAGAAGGTTTAGCATAAGTAACACATCCATATGTGGGTTCATCATTACTAAACTTCAAATTTATAAGGGGGGGGGGAATGCTTTAAACATTGTAAACAATTGTAAATGGCACAGTAGACCCCTGCTACAGTCGCCATAGCAATGGGACTGATGTTGTGCTGAGGACAGCTGGATGAAAGCAAAGTGCCCCCCTTTCCAACCCCCCCCACCTGCAGTCCTTGGTGTCTGGGAGAGGTGGAGGAGCCGAAACATCAAACCATCTGGCACCGCAGGAACATGAAAGAATCACGAGCACCTTTTGTGTCATCGCTCTCAACAAGTGTGTTTGCAGGAGGAAAGAAACGAATGCCTCTGTGTCCACCTTTGATTGGTAATACTTGTTTGTTTACGCTTAGGACCAAGTCTTCCTGTTTTTATTTATATATATATATTTTTTTCTCCAGTTAGTAGAGCAGTGTTTTAAGTAGTGTCTCATTTTGTGATATGGTGTTTGTGCAGGAGCTTGGTGCTTATTTCACTGATCTGCAGCTGTGTTGTACAGATGCATTTAATCTGTTTAAGCCTCTGCTGGCCACACAACACAATGTGGTATCCCTAGGCTTCGGTGTACACCTGTAATGCTTCAAATGAAGACAGATGTTTATCTTATTAACAAATAATGAATGAAAATATAGTTTTAATACACTGGCATGCAGCATGCATACTAATATCCAGTTATAACTGTATACCTCTGCACCACAGGACAGGCATTTGCATCTATTCCTCAGCAGCCAGCTGCCACAGTATGAGATACTTGCTTGCTTTTAGTGGATGGAGTGAGTGCTGATTCCTAACTAATTCATATTTTGATGTGACTGAAGAGTTGCCTCAAACTGTCATTGAGCTGTTATAATATAAGGAGCCTGTTTGACATTGAGAGCACCGGTGTTACAGTTCTACTGCAGACTGAGTGTGTTTGCCATCTGCTCTGCAGTGCCTGGGGAAACTTCCTTTACCTCAGCTTCTAGCTCAGTGCTGTTTGAGTGTAGATATCCCTCTGAGATGACTGGCAAGTGTTGAGACAGGTGCTTGACCACCTGATGAGGGAAGGACGATGCCAATAACAATACATTCTGCTTTCTTGAGGGGGGGGTGTTGCATATTTTAGCTTTAAGCCTGGAGACAGAGGCCACAGAATCAGAAGTAATGCAGTTGCTGAAAGGGTTTCCTGATGTTTTATTCAGGGTTTTTAGATCGAAATTCCAGTTTTTCTCTCTGACTGTTTCCTTCTCTTTCTACCTTCCAAGAGTGAACACCTGTCCTAACAACTGCTCTGGCCACGGAGAGTGTCATGTGGGGAACTCCACTTCTTCTGTGTACTGCGAGTGTGAAAATTACTGGAAGGGGGAAGCCTGTGACATCCCGTACTGCCTGGCTGACTGCGGGGAACCTGAAAGAGGCAGTTGCAAGGACAAGACCTGCGTCTGTACGGCTGGGTGGCAAGGTAGGGCTGGCAGCTTGGCGGGAACACTTTAGCAGATGTGCGACTTCATCTTCACATATGCTTTGCTGGTGTTACTATCCACAGCAAGTTGGCCTCAGCTTTCTCATACAACCCAAATCCTCCCAAGGGACTAAAATAAGCCTTTGACTGGCAATCAACAATGAACAGTGAGAATAAACTTAACAGTATGTCCGTCAGGTGTGATCAGGTAACCCAGACTGTCACACTCATTTAATAAAAGCGGGAATAACTGTGTTTAGATCTTGATGAACAAATCACAGCAGGATTATTGTTGTTGAGTTCTCTCTTTGGTCACCCAACCCCCCCATTAACTGAAGAAGGCTGGTTTTTGTACAGTCTCGGTATAAATCAACATTTTAAGGAGATATCTAGCCTAAATCGGGGGTGTCAAACATGAGGCCCAGGGGCCAGAATTGACCCAAAGACTCCGGTTCACTGGACAGCTTTGGATATTGAGAAGGACGGATAAAGACTTCCCCCATGGCTGTTCATACTACACCAAAGTAATTAAACTTCTTGGTTAAATACTTAGTAGTATAGTTAGTTAAATACTGAGCTAAACTTCAGACTGTGAGAAAGGAGAGTTTCACTGGTCTGCCTGACAGTTGTTTAGCCTGTTATAGGTAATGAAAAGACCGTCTTTGGCCTATATGCTGAGACTTTTAAGGTACCAGTTAATTCTGATTTATGTATTTTTCTAACCTTTTTTTTTTTTTAACAATATCAGGACTTTGTGTTGATTTCTAAAAGCAAACTCAGTGTGAATTAGAGGAAACCTCAGTGCAGTCGAGCACTGAGCAGCTCCAGCAGAGCAGTTGGAGGTTTAGCAAAGAGAGTGTTTTCTTTCATCCGTCCAGATTTTGCCTGTTTATCTGGTGATTCAAACCGGGTCCTCTTTAAGCTTTAAGCCTCCCGCGCTGTTATTGAGGTTTCTGCAGCCCCCACGGCATCCATCTGCCGTCACCCGATGGACTTGAAATGAACTTTTAGCACGATCAGCTTCCTCATAGTTCTGGTCGAGTCATGACTATTCACTTATTTTATTTGGTCATGACCCGACGCCGCTGTATGCTTTTTGTGCCGGACCATATGGCCCCTCTAACCGCTCTGTTAGTTCTTAAACAGCTCCACTGCGCTGCCTTGCACAAGCAGAGACAACGGCTTAATTTAACCGCAGTTATATCAGCAGCGCAGTGTGCTCACAATCTAATTACCAAAGCTGAGGGAGTTGAGAAACAGACTGGCGTTTTTCTTTAGCCTTTATTACCCTGTCATGGTGTTTTAGCAGAGGAATAGCACTCTTGGTGTACTTTATGCTGCCAGCTTCCAAATTAACTCATTTTCTACACCAGGCAGTGCAAAAAGCAGAGACAGATGCTTGTTTAGTCAAGCTTTAATCTCTCTTTCACAGACTCATAGACTTAAAAAGTAACATGTTTTTAAAGGTGGTAACACCGTGTTTGTTTTTATTTATGGAAATGCCACTGTGGTGTGAAAGTAATGTTGTTATTTAAGCACTGCAGGAAGAGGTTTGAGAATATTAGCTTCTGGGGATTCATTTAGCTGCTGAACAAAAAGCAGAACAAGTAAAGTGACCTTGATTGTCGGAGTGAAGCGGAGAACTTCCTTTCCTGGCACACGATCGCATGTGTACTGTTTTTAGTCCAGCGGTGAACATCCGGTTTGTGCTGTGCGGTAGAGCGATGTGCGCTAAATGGTTGGTAAATGTTTTATTCATCTCATCGGGTAGGATGGACGGACTGTAGATGAAAAGGGTCATCAAAGAGCCCTCTGACCCGGCCGCTGCCTGCAGGATTGACAGGAAAAGGCCAATCTTTGTATTCCTGTCCTGGTCTCTGTTTGCCAGAAAAGTTTTCCCTTCATTCAGGAGCGATTCCGGTTTATGGTGGCTATATTGTTCTCGTCCATAAATAGAGGAAGGCAGCTCTGACCACAGCCATCTGTCTTTTTAAAGATTTATTTTAGTGAAAACAATGAAGCTTTAATAGTTATGGTTTCCTTAAAGAATAGTCTCCACCATTAGCTAAAGCGTCTGCATCACGTCAGTGTTTTTCTGAACTCCAAAAACTTTATGATCTAGTTTATGGCAGCACGCCTGCTTTAGCCTCTTTCTTGAAAGCTCTGTGACAATCAGGTAGATTGAAGCAGAGGTTTTGGCAAAAAATTAGCACGTAAGAAGAACTCTTTTAAAGCACAGTCACATTGTTACTGTCAAATAAATAACTAGATGTGAGTAACTGTGGGAAAAATATATTCTTCTGCATGTCCCCAATTTCTTTTCTTTGGCTCTAAATGAATAAAATCCTTGGAAGTTTTATCCTCTTAATGTGAAGACTTTTTCACAAACAAGCAAACAAATTTGTTTTCTGCTTCTTGCTTCATGCTGATTTTATTCTAGTACAGTCATATTTTTTATGTCCCTGTAAAAGTAGAAATTAAAGGAATGACCTGAGTTAACCAAGCCTCCTACATCGGCGAGTTTCCTGTGGAGCCTTAACTCTGTGGTTTTTCCCTCCCCTCTCAGGTCCTGACTGCTCCGTCTCGGTTCCTGCCAATTCCTCTTTTTGGAGCCGAGAGGAGTACACCGAGGCCGGGCTGGCCAGGGCTTCCCACAAGGCTGTAGTTGAGCTGGGCGTCATGTGGGTCATCGGAGGCTACGTCTTTAACGCCTCCGACTATCACATGGTCAAAGCGTAAGTTGACTCCCCCAGCGAACATCTTCGCTTTGATTTGTAGGCATTGGCTGCAGCTCTCGTCCAAAAGAGCTGCGAGACACTGGTTCTCCTTGTTGCTATGCGACTGCAGGGTTTGTTCTTTTCAAACACAGTGTCTTTTTTGGAGAATATTTGAGTATTTAAAACTTGCGCCCAGTGTACTGAGGGCTAAAGCTGTACTTGGCTGTCAGGAAGAAGCCGCAGGACTTCCCGCCTCCTGAAAATCGACATGAAGAAGAACACAGCTCCGTACAGACAGTGTGTCTTGGACACAGACGGCATGTAATTAAAACCATAAAATTACAGCACTGGCTCAAAGTTATCACCCTGAACTCCACCCAGGACAATCACACACATGCCCTCGGCTCAAGTTTTGGTTTATTAGATTGCCTGTAAGCCAAGGTGTGGTTTTTTTTCTTCTTTTTTTCCCCCTAAACTTAGGTCATGTGAAACTATAAATGATCATTTTGTCCGCCTTGCACAACCTATTTAATTGAATTAGAACACATATATAATCCCCCTAAGTGTAACCAGTTACCTTGTACCCAGTGTAACAATGCTTTCTTACTGTTATACCTGAACATATGATCCACTTTGATTGCTGGCCTACTGTCAGGCCTTGGCGATCCAGATATTTGTTATACACGGGTATCTTTCAAAGGTGCCGCAATCTTATTTTAATTATTTATTTATTATGACCCTTTAGTTTCCAAAGCAGAGGTCCTAAAACACTGAACTACCAGGTTGCCTAAACAAGCACACATTCCTCAAATACTGTCGAATTTTGGAGATTTATTAAATCAAAGCACATTAACGTGTGAAGACTTGAAGCCTTATGTTTGCTTGCTCATCTAATAACCTTTACTTTACAGTAAAAGTCCCTTAAAGTGATGTTGTAATTTGGCTCTATGACATAAAATGATTTGAATTCAACATTTGGTTTCTTCAAAACTCAAAATGTCACGAACCGTGACAAGATTCCAAACAAATATCGTGGGATTGAATGAAGCGATCAGTTTATATTCCGAAGGCCGTCTTGCTGCGATGCCCTTACTTGCTGCAAAAACATTGTTTGGCCAGTACTACAACAACATAAGTCAGGAACAGAAGGAGAGATTGATGTAAAACTGGAACTTAAAAGGCTGGCAGAGGCAAAAGCAGCGAGGCAGTAACTCTAATCTGTTTGCTGCAGGGCCGGCATTTACGATCACACTTTAAATCAGCTAAATGCATAATCTCATGCAGCGAGTCAAGTGATTAATAGAATCTTTGCTGCGCTCGCCCATGTTTGTTTGGTTACTTTGTGAAAGACTTTGAACACTTTCATATACAATTTTAAAGCGAGCTGGGAAATCCTTCTGTAAATCTGAGCAAAACTGCTTCTTCGTTCCTGCAGGTATAACGTCAGCAGCAAGACATGGATGAGCCTCGACCCCTCCGTCAACACTGTCACACCACGATACGGCCACTCGCTAGCCCTGCACGAGGTATGTGAAGCTAAAGTCGTTGAAAGCACAAAGTGAGTGTATGCTCTTAACTACATCTTCGTACTGCGGTGCATTTTACAAATCTTACAACCTCCCTATTCTTTCTTTATGCCTTTTAGATAACCTTTTGTTATCTGCAGCTTAGATATAAATAAATCTCAGGGTGTTTTTATGCAGAAGTGAGGCAGTTTACTCTCTGCAAAAAGACTTTTAGGGACTCCTGGTGGAATAATAACAAGAGGAGGAGGTCCATTGATGATTAACAGACAGAATTTAACTAATTTTAATTTACACGGCATGTACCATGACGTCATACTCTCAGGACATTACTCATAACGGATTTATAGAAAACTGCACATGATGCCTCAAAAGGTCTGTTTCGTTAAAGTTATATGATGCATTAAAAAAATAATGTTTTGGCCTTTTATGTGATAATAAAACAGTGAATACAGATTGGTAGGTGGGGAGAGAGAGAGAAGTGGAAGACACACAGCAAAGGGCCATAAGCCGGACTTGAACATGGCCACGTGTCATATGGTTGAGCTAAACTGGCTCCTGCATTAAAATAAAATTCCCAACTTGGCTGCACCTACGTAAATGTTCATCATGTCTACTTTTAGTCTGGAGCCAACACTGTCAAATGGCCTGCTCTTAATTTGAAGAGCCATTATTCTGTGTGACCTCCAGGCCATCTTCAGCTTATTCATAGGAGAATGCGAAACAGCAGTAGGCGTATTGTGTTATTTTTGTTATATCAAACAAGACATGAAAATAGTCATCAATTTGCTGGATTATAATAATTCTTCTTATATGTAACATGCAAGCGATACAGACTCTGTAGTGTTGTTGCCGTGAGTTATTCCAATGAATTATAAGAAAGTTTAACTTAATTTGTTAGCAAAATTCTGCAAAAAGTCTTTGGAGTGTGCATATAATCCTGCTTCACTCTTTGTTCCCTCCAGGGTAAGATCTACATGTATGGCGGAAAGATCGATGCTACCGGAAATGTCTCCAGCCAGCTGTGGGTTTTCCACATCCAGAATCAGACCTGGGTCCTTTTAAGCCCCAGGGCCAAGGAGCAGTATGCCGTGGTGGGACACTCTGCCCACATTGTGCCTCCTGTCCACGAGGGGGACGGTCCCGTCATGCTAGTTCTGTTCGGGCACTGTCCTCTGTACGGTTACATCAGCCAGGTGCAAGAGTACAACATTGGTAGGTTTTAGGCACTTGTGAGAATGTGGTCAAACTAAACTAAAAATATACATGTTTATGAAAAGAAAGGGAAGATGCTTAAGAGGTCTCGTCGTCATCTGAGACGCAATCTGCCTGAGAAAACGGGGTGAATTTAATTGCTGCTGTGGCTGATGGACAAGAGCACATTTTTAAATTTGGATGTTATCTTTACCTGAGCTATCAGCAATAAGAAGTGATGGCAGTCTAATACATCTTTCACACACTGCAAAGCCCAGCAGTAATGATCTCTAGCAAAAAATCTTGTAGTTGCGTATTTCATTACATTGTGAAAACTTGAATTTAGATTTTAATTGTCCAGTAAAATACTATTATGTGACCCTCCAGCCAAGAACACATGGAGCATCGTGTCTACAGATGGTGCCTTGGTCCAGGGGGGCTATGGCCACAGCAGTGTGTTTGACCCCAGCACCAGAGCCATCTACATCCACGGAGGCTACAAAGCCTTCAGCGCCAACAAGTATGGCCTAGCAGGAGACCTTTACAAGTTTGATGTGGGCAAGAGGAAATGGTGAGAGATTTTCTGTTTTGTTATGAAATATGCTTGCTTAAATGCTACAGTAGCAGGGTTTTCACACATGTACTGCAGCTCTGATCATACCCAGCACAGTTACGTGCGAGAGTGCAAGCAGTTGGATCGGAAATATGCAGTCAAACTACAACCTCCTGAGTACGAAGTCGGCATGATGTGAATGTGTGGGTGTGTGAAAATCCCAGGTAGCAGTCTGGAGCATTTACAGCTAGCAAATGTGCATGACGTGTCCTGCCTGTGTGCACGCTGTACCGCAAAAGTTTTTTAAGTAGCGTGAACACGTCTGAAGCTGGCCAACAACTGCGGAAAATATGTCGACCTGATAAGCCCCCAAATTATTTTTAATTATCACTTTCCAAACCTTTTACTGTAAGGATATGCAGGTACTTAAATGCCATTTACATTACAGTAATAACTTAAATGCACTGCCTTCTTTTACTGACTTCCCTTTTTCTTCAGCTGATACCTTTGTAAAAACTATTTTGGTAATCAGCACTTTGACCTTGCAGAGATTTCGCCTTATTGTGATAGAATTAGTCACAGAAGTGCCGCGCAGCCTTCACATGTCTAAACCTCTGCTAATGGCAGGAGGTTGCACTCTGCGGATGAAGCATCTTTGAACAAGCCAAGGTTCAACATTCAGTACTTAAGGCAAAGTTTGCATGTGTAAGGAAAACAAACTTAACTCTCTTGAGTTACAAAAAGCGTTCACGTGACGACATTTTAAAATGAAACTCGCTGGTGCTGTGAAAATAAGGGCCGTGTGGCGTTCAAGTGCTTAACAACAATCCAAACTGTGGCTGTGCAGGACCATTCTGAGAGACAGCGGCTTCTTCCGGTACCTCCACACAGCAGTGATGGTTAGTGGGATGATGCTGGTGTTTGGTGGAAATACCCACAACGACACCTCCATGAGCCACGGCGCCAAGTGCTTCTCATCGGACTTCTTGGCCTACAATTTAGGTCAGTAACACACACAGACACACACACAGATTTTTTCCTTTCACTAAGGCTCTTTGCTTACACCCATCTACATGCATTCATACCTGGGAGCTGCTTAGTACAGAGGCAGGCTTCTTGTTGTCACTAGGAAGCTCCACTGGAGCAACAGAAGGTCAGATTTTTGCAACTTGCAGACTCAATAAAAACACATCTTCTATTCATAACTGGAATAAAATAATAAATAAATACTCATAACGAGATGTTGTTAAGCTTTCCAGCACTGTGGTGTTTTTGTCATATTCACACTAGTATTATTATGCTGGATCTTGGTATAAAAAGAGAGAAATTAAAGCTAACAGAGAGTGAAGCTGCTTTTTGACTTCTCACTTTATTTATGTGCATAACAATCCTGTTCTTTATAATTCTTAATGCTTTGGAAAAGCTGAATCCTGTGGGGTTTTGATTTCAAAATATTTATTGTTCCTCCAGATAGCTTTTGATTTTCACCGTTTCAGAAGAAACACTTTGCTTTAAATTACCAGTCGAATGAGTTGGCGCTTGGAATTACTCCTCCGCTAAGGCGAGAGCTCTGGCAGAAGTACGCGATACGCACTCTTTGTTTGTCAGCGAGATCAAAAACTGCAAAACTGCAAACGATATTTCATTAAAACTACCTGCAAAGGGGGAGCATAGGAAGAAGGGGGAAAAAAAGAAACGATCCATAAAGTTTTGATGTGGCTCTGGATCATCTTTAAAAGGTGAAAATTGGGAGTTTGCCTTGGCTAGGGATGCAAACTTTGTCCGTTTGCCCAGACAGTTAGTTTGTTTCTTGAAGTTCGGGCTTTTGAAATAATATCGCCTAAGTATTTGGAAGCTTCTAGCTCTTTCCTTTTGCTCATTTCAACATGACGGTATTAGGAAGTCCGTGGTGTTAGCCCCGCCCCTGGAAGGGTGAGCACGAGCAGGTTTTGTTTTGTGTTTTCTTAAACACCTGACATATGTAGTTAATTGTCGTCTGGGATTTTTCTCAGACGCAGTCATACTGGTTTACCAGTGATTGTACTGGAAGGCACACAAAGGTGTTTACTGCAGTTCGTGTTGCAAAAAAAGAGCCACTCCTTTTGAGTGGCTTTAAGGGCTTTCCTGGACAAAACGGGAAGTCGCCCCCAGTAAGATCCAATCCTCTAACCCAGCGGTCCGCAGCCCCGGACCCGGGGGCTGGGGACGGAGTCGTTTGGTACTTCGCTGCGAGAGTTGAGGCTTGGGTGTGAAATTTATGGTTCTCAGGGTTTTCATCACTAACTCTGTTTCCCTGGGTCTTTTCCTGTGTTGTAGTTGTGTGTATTATTTTGAAAGAAATATTTACGTGATATAGCGACCAGAGAGAGGAGGACGTTACTCTCAATGTTGTTGGTGCATTTCAGGAGGACGCTGCTAATAAAGTTACACAATTATACAGTGAATTTGCATTTAATATTGTATTTACAAAATACCACAGTTTTTGTCTTGGTCGTATCATTTTATTTTGTTGTATTTATCCGCGACACCTTAAAGGCCGGTCAGTGAAAAAAAAAAGTGACATTAAACCGGTCCGTGATGCAAAGGCTGGGGCCTGCTGCTCCAACCTACCTGCTGTGAGGGAGTTATGATATTAAATCAATTTTTAATTAGTGTGTCTGATGTGCACTTCTCATACAAATTAGTGACATAAAGGAAAACCTGGGCTTCAGGGTTGAAAACTAGCAAGTTCAATTTCATGGACCTTCCCCTCCAAGCTGCTCTGTGAGGATTTCAGGGTGTCTGTAAAGCAGGGTGGGCATTCCTACTCATAGCTTTGGGGACATAAACTATATTTATTCGTGTTTATTCATGCAGTCTCTTTTCTGAATGCTATGTTGCAATTCTTCGGGATACCTTAGGTTTGTAAATTATTACTTGACAGCAGAGCCCCTGTGCAGACTGCTGGCAGAGTAGAAAATCAGATTTCTTTCCTTTTACAAGTAAAATACTGAGATCCGAGTTGATTTTTGAGAACTAATTATAATCCTGTTTGAAGTTCTCCTCTTTGTCCTAATGTAAGCTAACACAGCTTTGTCACAAACCATCCCGGCTTCCTCATTTTGTTAACTGCCTATAAACGCTGTCGTAAATTGAGTCTGCCTCCTTCCGCAGTGCCGTCGCAAGCTGCTCATTAATGAGAGACTTCACTCTCTCCGGATGGGAGAATTCCCCGGAGGCAGAAAATTGCCCCAGGACATGTGAGGGTTTGCTGTGTCATTTCCATCATGATTGACAAGCAGTGAAACTATCTCTCAGGGACACACACACACACACACACACACACACACACACACACACACACACACACACACAC